CAAAAGCCACCAGTCAGGGGTGGCCACAGGGGTGCAGTAACCTTCTTTGAGAATAAGCCAAGAACTTTGATCCCTGTCACAAATAAAGTTTTGTAATGCTTGAAGCAGTTCCTTTTGTAGTCTGTTTGAAGCAGGGTTGACATAGGTAAAGAACTCAATTATCTTCTTTCTGTGATAAAAGGCAATCCCAGCAACAACAAAAACAATGTTGAACCTGTTACCTCTGAACTGTGGGAATCTTACTTTGAAGTTACCCTGTGACTGCATCCACACTGAAAATTGGCCATAGCATCCATTTTTTTCATCAACACCACGCGCAAAGCATTTCGAACATATTCTCAATAAATTAATAGTTTGTGAATCATCACCAAATTGTTTGGGTTTTTCCAAAATCCCACTTTCAAATTTCCGCAAGACTTCCGCTACACAGTCAGCAAAGTTCACCAGTAAATGTAGTCCACAAAAGAAAGAATTGACTTTTGAAGTTGCAGCCTGCTCTACTGTGGACAAGTGATCCCAAAACCTAAGAATTTCCCTAAATATGTCTGTCCTGTACTTTTCCAGAAGATCTATGAAAGCAAGATTTGTAGCTGCATGATCTGACATCAGGTTCTGAATGTTTGTCAACACCAAATAAGCTGGAGATAGGGCATCACTATTTTCCTCACGTTCATTTACTGCATCCGAGATGTCAGCTAGAATTTCCTTGAAAGTATAAAGAGTTGTTTTGGAAGACTTGTTTGCCATTTCCCTAAGACCAAACAGGTATGATCTCTTTTCATTATCTGAAATAAGAAATGTGTTGTAGGTTTTACTAAACTTTCTGGTCTCATAAGAATAAAGCGTTGTTGATGTTTGTCAAGGTGTTACTTCAGATAGTTGAAGCCGAGTTACACCAGCTTGGATGGGAGTGAATTTGTCCACTGTGGATCTCGATGGTAATCTGTCGGGAACCTTACCTGCCAGACTTAGTACACTTTTAATAACAGGTCCTACACTCACGCTAGCAACGTTTTCAGATTTCAAATCAAATACACATTTATTTGATGGTCTTGTCACTGAAACGCCACCCATTTGTATCAAATAGGTTAATTTTGCTGTCATCCTGAAGCAAAGTTTCAAAGTAATCTGATGATTCCTTCCAATTAGAACATTCCTTCTGTAGTCTTTCATAATCTCCACAGGGAACATGTCCATGTCCATTGTGTTCATTTCCCTCTGTAGCATCTGTAGGAGATTCTGATTTTGTTTCCAAGTGCGATATTGACATTTTGAATTGTGAATTCAAAGTACCGGTACTCAGTTCTTTAACTTCTTTCTCCAAGTCATGAATAGTTTTTCACTGTTTAGTTTTATCTTCCTTCAAAGAGACCACCTTGCTATCACGTCTTTCAAGTTTCCTTTTCAATTGTTTCTTTCTTCTCTCAGGTCTGCAACCTTAGAGCTTTGCTTCGATAACTGTTCAGTAGGTCTTCTTTCACAGAAGTAGATGAAATACACTGAACAGGTAACGAAAATATTTTCTCGAGATAGTCTTCTTTTGCAGAATCTCTCAGAGTTTTGAATTGGGAATGTAATCTGTCATATTTAGACAGTAAGGCCTTAGGATTCACTTCCCTAATTTCAGTGTGAGTTAATCTAGCAATGAACTCAGTGAAATGTTTTCTTTCGAAATGTGGGTTGTATTTCACCATAGGCATTAAATCATGGCAGATTCCAAACGTAAGTGTAATCTTAGGAACAGTTTTTGACACATCCAGTAAATCATCAAAGTTAATGTTCTTGCTTAGTAATCTGTCCAGGGTGATATCTATTTTTGCTTTGTTCCAGATATAGATTTGTGGATTATGAGAAAATCCCAAGTAACAACTATTGGTGTTCCCTTGTCTTCGTAAGTCACTTCAGGTGCTGGAATCCTGCTGTTCAATTCTTTGAGCATAATCATCCTGCAGGGTTGATTCTTCCTCTGGATTGTACTGTACCTCTTCTACCTGACTCTCCTCTTCAATTGTAATGACATCCTCCTCTCAGTCTTTAGATGCAGACACGTCAGATGTATTGTCTGTTACTGCATCTTCCCTGAAGTCACACTCGGGTGGTTGTGTATCCTGTGAATCTTCACAGCCACTTGCTAGACACCTCTGACCAAAAACAAGTTCAATGCAACTATAACAAGTAACATTTACTTATAACATGTATACAATCTCATTCATCACGTTCATACAAACATCCGATAATAGCCTTTCTTTAAAAATGTTCTGTTGACGTGACACTTGCATAACTTCATCATGAAAATGAAATAAATCAAGTGAAATATCATGCTTAAACAAGTAAACAAACTTAGTGCATTACATAAGTATAACATGAAAATGTAAAATCAGCTGATAATCAGTATGCAATGATATGAGTATCTATATATGAATTTCATCTTCAAATCACCTGATAACATTTCATCTAATAGATTTATGATGATTATTGTATCATTAAAATAACTGAACCACATATATACCCTCAATGACTTCCTCAGGCAATCTGCTCCCTCTAGATCCAGTAGGGGTCGCTTGCTCATTTCTGATGGTCTGTTTGAACATAGCAAAATATAATGGTGGTGTCTTCAATTTCATGCAATATATCAAATATATTGCTTTAAATTGCAAATTGCATCCTAAAATATTAGGCAGGCTTCAAATAAGTCTATAATCTAGAAAAAATGTCAAATACATAATTACATTGTTATCATATATGTTAGTGTTTGATTAGATTTTAATACAAATTAGATATCGATTATTAAAGATGTGTTACTGTACACAGTTTCAAATTAGAACATTGAAACTAGGAAACATGAAATATATTCTCTCACCCAACTTATCACCATACTTCATAATTTCTCTTTTACCTTTAATCTGCAAATATGTTTCATTGCTTTTATATAAGAATGTTAGTTTCTAATTAATGGTTCACTTACTTCTTATGTTGTTATATGTACATAGTGTGCATTGTGGTACATTTGAAACATACTAAATGTACTTATTTACTTCACTTAAAAAGTAAATGTAAAATCTGAAAACATTCAGAGCCAGGAGTTATTTCCCTTTGGTAAGCACAGCACATGGAAGTCATGTTGACAGAAAAGCTGTCCCGACCTTTCTGTATTTGTTACGAATTTGCAGCTATCATACGAATATGTAAGTACTTCCCTATTTCATACAAATAATATGCCAATATACGAAAAGAAATCACAAGAACAGAAGATTCATAGAATCCTTTAAAGAGGTGCATTGAATGCAATGTTAAAAAATGAGTCCATGGGAAAAATACATCCAAGTTTGCCTGCAAAGGGCACTTCGTTTGAAATTGTACATAAATCCAATCTGTCTGTCTGTCTGTCTGTCTGTCTGTCTGTCTGTCCACTATGACATGATCTCTTCAATACATATACGAACGATGACTTTCAACCTGTTAGTGTTAGTCAGACCTGGACTAATGCTGTTGTTAACAGTGTCTCTGCTGTTTCCAAGTTTTATGTTAATGAACCAGTAAAGAAAAGATTTATTTCATTACTTTCCGAAGTAAGAATACTTTTTGTTTGCCTTTTCATGGTAGTTTATCATTTGATACAAAAACAAAATAACTTTTCCTTGCAATTCAAGGTGTTCAAGTTTCGCATGTAAGTTAAGTTTTATAATTTTCCAGAGAAGTATTCTTCATCCTCAACCATGGCAGTGGTATCTGCTTTTATTTATTTATATTGTATCATAGATGTTGAACAAATTGAGAATGTCACCCTTGTGCCTTTTCATATCAAGGGAGGTGGGGTAGCCTAGTGGTTAAAGCGTTCGCTCGTCACACCGAAGACACGGGTTCAATTCTCCATGTGGGTACAATGTGTTGGGCCCATTTCTGGTGTCTACTGCAGTGATATTGCTGTAATACTAATATTGCTAAAAGTGGCTTAAAACCATACTCACTCACTTTATATATCGACACAAGTCAATACGATTTTAAAACTCTCTGGATGAAAATGATAAGTTTATGAACACAATCCCTTGAAATGTTTTGCTTATTGTTGTACATGTTGTACACAGTAATGGCTTGATTGGTGAGCCAGTTTATTAGAAAAGGGATACTTTTTATTTTTGTTTCATCAGAACTAACAGCTGTTTTGTTTTATTATCTGCTCCTTTTCACCCCTTACATAAAAACGTATCTGTTTTACCCTCTTTCTTTATCCTCGAACCCTATACCATTTAAAACTCATTCAATAAGAAATTCTAGCATTTATACACTGTGGTGTTGTGCAGCAATGAAGGTGAGCTTCTGTACCCGTGTTTCTCGGGTTGAGTATATTTAATGTTAAGTCTCTTTTGCGATTATTTGGGCAGTTACCATGGTTACAAGCATCGTTTTATGTTTTTTACTTTTGAACATTATTTAAAGGCATTCTTCGCTTGTGAGAGTAAACACTTTTTCACATAATTAAGGGAATGTGTGACAAGGCAGTATTGACAGTGAGTGGGTTGGTTTTGACACTACTTCAAACAGTACAGCAGATTACGGTTATAACGAACCCAGAGGGACCGCTCATTTTAGTTCGTTATAAACGTAGTTTATTATAAACATATGCAGCAACTGGACGGGACCAAAAAGCAGTTCTTTGTATCGTCAGTTCGTTATAAGCGTGTTCATTATAAACATAGTTTACGATATTCCCATTTAATATGATGTTTACCACTTTGGTGAAACCTATAATGACAAGCATGGTGCTGACAAACCTAGAAACATAATTGGAGCAAACCAGGATTCCAACCCACAATTATAGGTTTCTGGAGTGTCCAAGGGATGCAACTCTGCACAGAGAATTGTGGCGACTTAAGACGACTGTGCCACCTCTGGCTTGCGGTATTGACAGAAAAGTTATTCAATACAAATAGAAGAAAATGTTGAAGTTAGTGTGCCCTATAATGTCAAATCACTGGACTATTTTTTTCTTCTGTCTGCAGGCTTATGGAAAAAGAAGTGAAAATGGGATCTTGCGGAACAAGGCATGTGTTCGTATAATATGTGGATGTGCTGGTTGTGGGCTTTTAGGTTTTATTATTTTGTTTTATAAATTTTTTCAGTATTTGGCCTCATGAATGTTAACCTTTGATTTTGGGGTCATGAACATGATGACGCTAGTCACTGTAAGTTAGTGATCGGTGTTGGGGGGGTCCTGGGGGTCTTCTAAGATGTGGGGGCACGCCAGAAACCTATGATTGTGGGTTCGAATCCCGGTTCGCCCCGATTATGTTTCTAGGTTTGTCAGCACCATACCCGTGCTCATGGGTTTCACCGAAGTGGTAAACATCTGAGACTCGCATCACTTCGGGCTTTCCTCCAACATTAAGCTGACATGCTGTTAACTTATGTTAACTTATGACAAGGACCACTTCACTGTCATGTTAATTTTGAAAGCTAAACAAAATACAGTGACGGAATTTGCTGCAAGAATCCCATTAGCCTTTTGCAAATGGGTCAGTCTTTTGTTAAGGTGGATCTCGTCCTTGGGCAGCTTCCAAGTTTCCAAGTTCTTCTGAAAGCAGGGCTGTTGGGTAGCCTAGTGGTTAAAGCGTTCGCTCGTCATGCCGAAGACCCGGGTTTGATTCCCATGTTGTGAAGCCCATTTCTGGTGTCCTCTGCCGTGATATTGCATGAATATTGCTAAAAGCAGCGTAAAGCCATACTAAATCACTCACTCTGCTGAAAGCATTGTTCATATCTTTCCGTAATATTATTATTACAAAAAGACGATATACAGAAAGATAACCTTCAATGTCATGTTTGAGTAAATGCCACATAATTAATAACACATACAAAGCCAGATAACACCATTAATACTGACATAGTCCTCATTGTGCCTTCACATGTCTTTGTGTGACGTATTTCAATCTGTATCAGTTTCCGAGTAATTCACAGAGTGAAATGAATTACGGCATGACCCCCTTTCTTTGGATAGATTTCTTGAGCAAAAGCTGAATTGAGGCCAGTACTTAACTTCAGGCCGCTGGGCCATTTCATGTCCTCTTCCCTCGAAATGACGAGCATTTTTTCTTGATTATGTTCATGAATGGCCATTTCGAGTGATGCTGTGCATTGCAGCCATCTGCGAGCTGTGGAACTGTCTCAACAGGCACAATCCTCCTCAGACAAGACGCCACTTCCTTCAGACAATAAACATTCTGTGATTTCAGATAATCTTGTTGAGAACATGTGTATTCATTTAATGTTAGGCAACACTTTCTTAATTTTATGCTTCATGGATTTATTCCAGTTTTTCCACACAAGGTCGTTTGAAATTATAATAAATATAAATAGCTATGTCCATCATTCATTTATTTTTATGAAAGCCATTCTGCCGTGGAGTTAAAACTACAGGTGGCCTTTTGAATCACTGATAGTAATGAAGACATGGAATATATATAAGAGGGATTATAAAACTAGTGGGAGACATAATAGAAATAAATACTTTTTTGTTTCATTTATTTCTTTTCCACCTGCTTTTCAGTAGTGGTGGCGGGCCCGTGAAACGAACAATAGCAATGTGTGGCCTTACCACCCCCCACCCCCCCCCCCACATAACCCTTATAAATTCTGGGTTTTCTTTAAGGCTAATCCTTATGTCACTGGTCTCCTAGCTAGTCTTGCTTGAACAAGACAAACATGTTTAATATGTTTCAATTCCAATTCGTAGCACTAACTGAAGACTTGAGAACTGGTTCTGAATTATAGGATTTTTACTTCTCCTCAGCACAATATGGTAATCTCCGAATAGCGAACTAGTGGGAATTTCAAAGGCTGCTGATCATTAAAGGGAGCCTAGGCTAGAGGTGTTTGGCAGTCCTAGCAAATTTCATCCAAGCCTCTCCAACACAACTTTCTGTCTGCTACTAGTGCTAGTTCCCATTCTATCATGCATATCAATCTACCAATTAATGCTTGCCCAAATTACAGAGGAAGAATGCCTCAGTTTTACACATAGTAGTGATTGCAATGTCTAACAAGGGAGACAACTGGCACCAGGATATGAAGCATAATCCCCTTTAATTCCTGAATGCCATAGTGAGTGATTGAGTTAATATTTAACATTTATTGGCAGTATTTCAGCCATATCGTGACGAGATAAAGTTAAACATTGACAATAAATATATTTAGACTGTACAAAAATGTGTTGAAGAACAATACAATAACTAGACTATCACAGATTTTAGTTACAACTGGCTGGAGAACATGTAAGATAATAAACTATCATTCAACAACACATATAAAAACCGGGCTACAGATTGCCAGCAACCAAAGTTAGGCAACCCTGATAGGGACCGTGGGGGCTACACTACTTCTACAGCTGGCAGTTATCCACAGTGTTATCCATCAATTAAAACTTACCAGTATACTGTGAATAAAACTACGGTAGGAATAACATACTTTGAAAGACATGGTCTTACGATGCCCTCTCAGGGGACAATATTTTTACAGTACTGCAACCCCCATTGAGGGCACAGCAACAAACAATCTCAGTTAATATACACGACCAATATTTAAAAAAAACAACCGAAAAACAGCTATGTACATCAAAATTTATCAATAAGTTCAATATCTTTTAAAAAACTGATCATTAGACGAGAGGCGATATTGTAAAAAAGATCCTTTATGGATGAAACTTTGAAATAGTTATCCCTTGTGATGGAAAAATCAATACAGTCAAGCAGGACATGCTTGATGTGAACCTTTCATCACAAGGGAAACAAAAAGGAGAATCCTCTCCTCAATAAATATTCATGTGTATATCTACTGTGGCCAATACGACATTGTCGCATAAACAAACCTCTTCAAATCCGGACTGACAGCCCAAGTATGTGTAACGGATATTTGGTGTTATTGCATGTAATTTTTTCAAAACATAGGTTTATAGTTGCTGAAATACATAAGAAGTGGTGTCACAGATTTGTTGAGAGCTGCTTTAGCTGCAGCATCAGCCATTGTGGCTGTGGCCATTCCAACATGGCTAGGCAACCAACTAAGAGACGATGTTGTATTGGCCAGTAGCAAGATTATTATGTAATTCATTGGTGTCAAGTAAAATGTCATAATACAGGTCTCACAGTACAGGCCTACTGTTTTATACATTGTATATTCCATTGTCTGTGTTATATATATGAACTACTGCCATGTTGTACATATTGTTGGTATATAGCTGATGTTTTTCCCATAAATTATGTTTACTGTAAACACAAATTGATTTTACACATGTACACGCTGTTGACACAAATAGTGTGTGATACTTTGTTGTGTTTTTAAATTGTCAGTAGTGCTCTCAGTGCTTTTGTTGGCATCCATGTAGCTTCATTCATAAACTTACACAGTGAAATCCTGATTAACCAGACATGGCGATAGTCCACTAGTCCTTATAATGTTAACTTATAGCAAATCCCTTAAAAACAGCATATTTCTACAACTCTTTATGATATTGGGCAGTTTGGCAAGGACTACTGGTCACTGACTAGTTATTGACACTTTTTTCATGTTAATTCTGAAATATCTATTTATAAAGTTAACTGTACAAATAACTTTTATTTGTGTGAAACAATAAGCAAATGCACATAGTTCTGTCTGTGGAAACAAATCAGTAGATTTCTGTTATAATGCAACGAGAGTGGAAATTGAAATATCCCGTCCACCAACTGTACCAGTTATCGACATCATCTGAACAGCATGTGCCATGTGATCACTCACGCCGCTTTAGTTATACAAACTACATTTTCTATTTTTTCTGGTATCGCACTCTTTTTTTACATTCATTACAATCAATAAGATGCTTTTATCCATTTGTTGTTTGCAAACTGACGTACACCAATATTCTCAAAATTCGATTTACACATGCTTATCCTCCACACTATGTACTATGGATTTTGTGATATATACAGGGTTATGCATTTTTGGAAATATAGCTCAAATAGGTTTTAGAATTGCATTTTGGGGAAGAAATGACAAACAGATAGTAAGCCATGACAAAACTGGTTGTGCATCATTGTGTTGTTGGATTTTTGTTTACATGTAAATTAGTCATGTGACACCTCCCGCGTGTGTCTTCTAAAGTTGTATTTGAGCAAGGTGATTATATGGTTTGTCTTTAATATTTCTTCCTAAGAGTCAGTTTTGTTCATCATTTTTAGATAAATATTCCTCTCTTCTAATGAAACTGAGCTAAAGTAAAACGAGATGTGATCCCGTGCGTGCTATCACGGGGAGTTGGCGGTAATTGGCGCTCGGCAATAACTGGTCGCTAGCCAGTGTAGGACAAGAGCCCATTTCTGAACCTTGATACAACACATACACATCTTCTTGGCCTGTTTTCTATAGAGGAGTAATGATATGGTGGGGTTGCAATATGATACTATGGGAGCGATACAATTCATACCCTGATACAGTACTTACATGTCATAAGTTGATATTCTTTCTTATTGCAAGTGAATCACAACCATGAATCATTTGTTATTAAGTTTCAGCGATCCAAGATAGGGCAGAACATATAGGCTAGAAGGCATTGTAAATGTTACGCTATTTATGGCCACCCGGGAAATACTACAGAATCTGTGTAAGCTGTTTGTTGAACAGTTTCTGTTAATATTCATGTTTTTACAACAATATAACTTGTAATGTAATGTACCATATGTATCGCTATACAGGGCTTGTAAATCAATGTATTCTATCGCGGGCCTCGTATCAGGATACAACACCGTATCTCTGTATCGTTACACCAGCATCTAATAGTAAGGGACCAATGGTATATCAGGCTCCTATGGTTTATGGTGGGATGTCACACTATTACCAGTGTAGGGAGAAAATAGGATCACAACACAGCCCTATGTTATAGTGTTCCCCCTGGGGACGCAAGGTTACAGAATGTCCCTAGCAACCTATGATGTCATACAGGGTCAGACTCAATGACTTGATGGACAGCGTGTCATCGTACACCAGTGGACAGGGATGTTGCTCAAAATATCAATCACTGGATTGTCTGGTCCATACTCAATTATTTACAGGCAGCTGGGAAATAACTACAATATTGCCAAGTGTGGTGAGGTATTTTTAAACAGGAAACAAATAACTCATAATCTGTGGCCTGATGTCTCGTGAAATCTTTACAGGGATTGTGATGCATGACTAGATGCCGACAACTGCATAATTGTATACCTTTATCAGTCCAGATGATGCTCAACTTGCGGGTGAAATCTATATTTATATATGGTCTGCAGGATTCTGTATTGCTGAGTCCAAGCTTCCAGCAGGTAGTGTTCTAATATACACTTTATTCAAAGATGCTTTGCTAAAAGATCAAAGGTGCCAACTGTACTATATCCTATGACAGGTGCACATTTAAGTTACGTTGTAATGGGCTTACGTAATGATGCGGTTCCAATTACCTTCCCGGTATCTAATGTATTCTTGGTAACATTGTTCTGTCATTACTGACAATCAAGATGCAAGCATCCGCATGCTTTAGCTATTAACGTTCAAGACAGAACTATACTTTATTACTGTACACATGGAGGTGGACAAACTGTTTCTTAGACATGTGGTTGATGAGGCTCAGACAGGTGTCTTACTGTGCTGTAAGGATTTGTAGCCAATTTGCTGAGCGACCACATGGAAACCTGTTTGATTCCATGGCTATTGGGGAACCCAAACAGATTTGTTCTATGCAATAGTATGGTACAACTAGTCAACTGGTTGAGATCAATAGTCAACTAGGATAGTAGCCTTGCTTCAAGGCTGTACTGTAAGATAAGTCCATGGATGTGTAGTAATTCTATTCTCCTAATAGGCAAGTCTAGATATTTTGACTTCAGTCTGTACTAGGGACAACTTGTTCTTATTATTTACAAAATCTAAAATCTAAACTGTATGATAATGATTATTGCCTTAGAGCATGTAGAGACTTGTGCAAGTCTACTAGGACAGCCACTTGTCCTAGTTTATAGGGCTGGGAGCAGGCCAAATTGACTACCCAGGTACCGACCCCCTGTTACGTAATGACTATTACAGCAGTGTCCTGGGCATTGGCTCATGTTTGGGTTTGAGGCCACCCCATAGTTTGCTAGAACTTTGTGTTAGGTTGGCTGTCTCACAGTCTTGAGCCCGTCTCCAGATTGCGAAAACAGCTTTTCCATGACAGGGTCTTGGCTCTGGAATTTTTAACGACATGGTCACCTGCGGATAACAGTCCACCCCGAACTGTTGACACATGAATCCAGTTTTACGGTCGTCTGTTATTGATGCAGTTATTTTATTTCACTGGGAGAATGACGTTTTCTTACTTCCAACCCCAGTAGACATGACGATGAAGATGAATGATATTTCATGTGATGACTGTTGCAGAATTTTATACTACTCTAAATAAGTTCAGGACCACCTGATTCTTTCACGAAACTATAGTTAATCAGTCATGCCATGACAGATCAACTATAGGGATATGAAAGAATCAGGGGTCATTCATTTCTTTTGAGTAGTTATGCACTATCAAATGATCATAGTTTTGTAGTTGTGTGATTGTATAGTATTTTTTATTGAATATTAATGTTTTATTTTTGCATGTTATCTGAATCATGTATTGACAAGAATATTTCATTTTATTGATGGCTGTGTTTATGTGCAATGTTTTACAATTTTTGCCTTTTTTACACTGAACATTACTCAAGCATTAGGCTCCATATTGTGAACCATCCTGCTCATCTGGAGATCACCCTCAGATTATTTTTAGAAAAAGGGTCTAGTTAGGACTCCTGAGATGTACTTATTACTCATGTGTGTTGTTTAATTAAATGTGCAGACCTTTGTTCATTAGCTTGTGAACCATTTTACTACTTCAACTGTCTTGTATATTCACATTTTTGCAATTCCCTGTTTTCACTTGTACCATATATTCACATGATTTTTCAGGTGAACAATTGACTTGCCTTTACATGTGTTTGTGACAGGTGCCACTAGTGTGGCAGGATATGCTCACATTTTCGAACACCTGGTATCATCTCCATTTGAAAGCGATTCATAAACACATCCATATGATGTATCGGTAGTCGGAATTGTAAACTATCTTAGAATTATTGATATGTTTTTTGTTGTTGTTATTTCAAAATCACATCCTTACATCAAACTGTTCTGTTAACCAGGTATGGTTCTTGTTGAACTGTGACCTATGACTGCTTGACTGGGTGTCACTGTTTGGTGTTCTCAGGTTCATACTTACTCGATGTGAAGAAATGTTTTTGAATGTAGAAAAAGATCTGGGCTAGAATAGATCTTCAGCAACCAATGCTTGCCGTAAAAGGCAACTATGCTGGTCTTAAGAGGCAACTAACAGGATCGGTTGGTCAGGTTCGCTGACTTGGTTGATGCATGTCATCATATACAAATTGTGTGGATTGATGCTCATAATTTCAGTCACTGGATTGTCTGGTCCAGATTCTATTATTTACTGACCTCCATCATATAGCAGGAATATTGATGAGGGAGAAGGTACTCTGAAGTGTGAAGGCCTTGAAGATGAACAAGTCTTCCCCACCTATATGGTATATCTAGTCTGTCATAGTGATGGTAATACAGGGCCATTTTGTTACTGTTACTGGCTCTCATTCTAGTCCATATTGTATTAGCACTGCAGAGTTGAAGCACAGGTCTGTTGTCACCTTGAGATGAGACTTATTACTGCAGCGTGTTATGTTCATGTCATAGATAGACTTTAACTGTTGTAAGTCTTCAAACTAAAATATCTGATAGCCTGCACATTTAAAAGCATGACGATTGCTTTGTTAGAAACCATTATGTAACTAACAGGAGTAAGTGAAAGAATGAATGAAATGTTTTAGATTTTTAAGGCTATGTTATCAAGTGTTTCAGCTATGGCAAAACTTTGTGAAAGTTGAAGATTCTTTTATGTCCTAATGAACTAATATTAGAAACATAATCAAGGGTCACTTGTGGTACATGTATTATACTACCACATGATCTTTGCATTGGTTTCTAAAGGGTTTGGAAATCTCAGAAATCCTTCTTTACCACAGAATAACAAATTTCTTTGCTGAACAATGGGTCAGCATTTTTTGTGATAAGTACACAATTACGTCTATGTTAATGAAATGTTGCAAGATTCCAAAGAAATTTCATTGTATTTTCAACAGTTCAACATGTCTGAAACAGGTTTACTAAGAAAGGAGGCAAAATTAGCATTGCCTGTAGTTAAAAAAGAAATGAACTTCTTCAATGTTGAATGATGGCCAATCATTTCTGAATTTCAAAATTTATTTTGCAACATTTGTTTTCAGAAAATTGTTAAGGCTATGATTTTCAGAATTATGAATATAAGCTCATTGTTCTGCAAAGTATGTGGTCGAATTCAGTGCACTTGGCATCAAATCCTTCCAGGACCAAGGCATGACCTCTAACTGGACATTCATACTTCTTTGTAGAGAAGGTCTGTGCGAAACGTTGTATAGTCTGAATGTTCTCAAACCTGGTCAAATATCTATCTCACAACATCGTCTGCATTGGATGTTAGATTTTATTCATGGTAATAAACTGTTGTTACTTTGTTGAACATGTTTGTTTTCTCTTTCAAAACAAGATGAAGGGGCTGTATAGGTCAGCAAGCCACAGATGAAACATGTCACTTCTTCTGTAATCTTGGCCAGAAATAACCACTAAGGGAGACTGCTCGATCCTAGGACATTGATTTTTACATGTATGAAGGTGAGGGGAGGTGAAATAGGGTTCACCGTCGCGTTCAAGATTATTGCACTTATATAGTGGCGTGCATGCATGTGTGTGTGTGCGTGGCTGCTTGTACTAGTTGGGACTAAAGCCAGTATTATGGTGCTAGCCCACTGAGATACCATGCTGCAGTTTAACATTAATACCCTACTCAGATACCGTATACTGACTCCAAGCTGACCAGTCCTGTTTTATCCTGTAATCTCATGAGCCAGGCAGGGAAACAATAAGTACCATCTTTTAATGTCTTTTGGTATGACACAGCGGGGATCAAACAACCAACCTTCCACTACACCATGGAGGTGATCCTCACATGCATGAAACCCGTACTGTATGTGCAAGGCAGTTCTTCAGATGAGTGAATGTTGTTTTATGCCACATTCCGCAGTGTTCCAGGTTTATCACAGGGGCCTGTAAATAATCAAGTCTGGATGAAGCAAACCAGTGACTGAAAGCATGAACATTTGGGTGATGATGACACATAATCAACCAAGTCACCATGCATGACAACCCATCCAGTTTGTCACCATATAACAAGCAAGTCATTGTGAGACCTATTCTAACCAAGGTCTCAGGGGTTCAAATCCCAAGTGCATAACAGCAGAACACAACATGGCACCTTAATAGTATGGAAACAGTTCCCTGAATTTGTAATGAATCCATGTAGTAGGTTTCAAGTACAAGGTTCAAGTGAAATATATCCAAGTCAAAAAATGAAAAGTAGCTGATTTTTTCTCTCAGAAAATCCAAATATTGAAATCAAACTTCGCACTGTACCTCTCGTATTGGATAAGAAAGTGTTCACCAATTTTGAAAAGAATCTATGAAGTAGTTTTCAAGATAAAGATAGGTTACACACAAAAATTGTCCTCAGAATTACAGACGGATGGAATTCCTTGGTATAACTATATACCCCAACCCTTTTAGGATGGGGGTATATAAAAAAAAATCGATGAAAACAGACTTACCAAGTATTCTCAAATTTGCATTCTACATTTGTGATGTAAGAGGGGACTAACGGGATTGGGTGGTCAGGCTAGCTGACTTGGTTGATGCATGTCATCGATCCCAATAGCATGGCTCATGATGTCAATCACTTGATTGTCTGGTCCAGACTAGATTATTTACAGACCACCGTCTATAGCTGGAATATTGCTGAGTGCGGCGTTAAACAACAAATAACCAAAAACGTTCTAGGTTGGTGGATCTTCTTTTGAAATAAAACAAGTAAACTTTTTTCAGTAGCATGAATATTATCATCCAGACCAACAACAAACAAAATTTCAAGCATCCAAGGCATTTATTAAATGTACGTATTTTACACATGATTCAAAAGAAGCTAAATGGTATGTTAATGGATTCAAGTCCATAGCAATACCGGTGTATATATATAGATATAATGTACACTTTACACCAACAATAAAGATATGCATAGAATCACTGGAGGATGGAAGGGGACAGTACACAGACATTGTCAGTCCATGAAAGCATTATGTAAAGAGGTACTGAAGCTCACCTATAGTGCATGATTCAAATTGTGAGGACATATACACAAAATATATTCCACTTTTTCAGAATGCTACTGAAGTTCTTTAAAAAGAGTAACTTAGAACTTGGTAATATTCTGGAAACACTGTCAGGTTTCTAATGTCAAGCAGTCTACATCCTGACAACACATGATACTTGTTTACCTATGGATAAAGTAGAAACAATAACAATGAGGGAAGCAATTGTAATGATTAAAATTCTCTGTAATAAGGTTTCATTTCAAAACTTCATTTTTCCACTGAACATGTTTAAGAACATGCTTAGAAATGGCATTCAATGCCATTTGTGTGGTGTTCACTACAGTCATATACACAGGTATGGAAGGAAATAGCACAAAAGAAGCACCACATTTATCAGCAGTTTTTTTTACATTCAGTTACACATCATTACATTGTCTTACCCACAAGAAGTTGATATAACAACTGGGGATCTTGAAGCCACGCTTCACTTAAAAAAACATGGACTAACCCATAAAGTGGTCGACTTAACGATTATTTACAAAAATACATATATTTCTTTACAATTTCATGTTTTTCTTCAATTGAATAAAATCTAGTACACATTTATTTATTCTTTGTTTCAAATGTAAAATGTAAGGACATGATCTCCCCATAATGACTACACGTCTATGTACATGCTGTGGCCAGTGCTCCATATGCCCTGTGTACAATTTTAATGTAATCATCACCCTTAAAACACCTTAAGTGAAGCCATCAGTACTTCAAACATTACCAATTGTGAGTGAATAAGTATGGTTTTACGCCGCACTCAGCAATATTCCAGCAATATTCCAGCAATATCACGGCGGGGGACACCAGAAATGGGCTTCACACATTGTACCCATGTTGAGAATCGAACCCGGTCTTCGGCATGACGAGCGAAACCAAAATGTGAATGATTATTAATTGATGTTAAGTAAACTTATTAATTATTGACAAAGTGGATTACAGCAATAACTTGAACAATAAAGATATACAATTCATAAGTGCACTTACAAAAACAAACGTACTCCCAATTCATCGTCATAACATAACCATCAGTCCATACCTTTAAACATTATGCAGTCATTGAGCAACTTTTTACATCCCTTTTTGCAGTGCACCATCAAAAACAATACAAGAAAGATTTATATCCAAATACCTTACAGATTTCAATCCAACGTTCCTCCATCACTCCTGAATACATATGGCTGAAACACAGTGTAGTAAAGACGTGTGTCTATTTCAAGTCGAGCAAATCTTCCCGAGGTAAGGGAGTCAACTGACTTTGAAAGCCCAGTTTCCACCCTTGCTGAACTAGGCTGGAATTATTGAGTTATATTTGGGCTGGACTAACGAGTCCATGCATACTCCAATCAAAATCGCATAACGAAATCAACATACAGTTCAGAAACTGCTGTGCAGATTTTGGTCGATTGCAGGTTTTGCAAAGCATGTGTACCGTCAACTTGGTGTTATAAAAATATTAATTTCCAAATCTTTTCATGTTTCTAATCAAGGTGCTCACGTGATTTGATGCACTTTATGAAGTAAGACCCGTTTTAGTACAACATAGATCTTGATTATCGATCAGATTGTCTTTACTGGGCACCACCATTTTGTTCCAAGCAAATGCATTGATATGAGAGGTGGAATCTGATTGGTCAAGAGGAGGGACATAAATGGAACGTAACGCGTAATGGCCACTGGTTGCGCTACGATCAGACCCAGAAATTCCAGCCTAGTTCGGCAAGGGTGTAAACTGGACTTTTACAGTCAGTTAACTCCCTTGCCTCAGGAAGATGAGTCAAGGAATGAAATGAGGCTGTCAAAAGAGTCGTACTCTGTGCATGAAATGTCTGGAGCAGATGGCTGCAAGGCTATGACACATGTTGCACAAAAAATATAGGACTAAGCACTCACTCGTTTCCCACTCATTGGAACCAGGCCTTGTCTACACAGAACATCGACCATATGTGTCCAACGCATGTAGGAATATAGAATACACAAAGTACTGACGATGCTAGGTCTGAGGATTTGTCAGGTTAAGAGGAACTATTGTTTGATCAGCCATAACCTAGCATATTTTATTTGTTTGTTTGTTACTTAAAGCTGTCCTAAGCAATATTCAAACTATATGACAGCTGTCTATAAATGACCAAGCAACCAGACAATCCAGTGACCAACACATAGTTTAGTCCTAATGATAACTTGTGGAGATGCATCACATCATCTAGTTACATGTAATTAATGACAATCTTCCACAACGAAAAAATAACTGCAGCCTTCCCTGACATGTACAGACTTAGGTGCTTCCTATCGACAAAAGTCATGATCTGTGCTCAGAAAATATCACACATGTAGATAACCGTCACTGGTACTGCACTAAACACATCATGGAACATCCTCCACTTGATCGGGTTCACGATGTCCTGACATGCTGTTATTGCAAGTTGTTTGAAGATCAAACCACTGCAGTCAATCATCTCTTATTTCTCATCATCATGGAACTTGTAACGCTTTGGGGGAACCACCTACCATTTAAAAACCATTTGGGAAGGGGTCAAAAACAAATATGAATTAAACTAAATAAATCTAATAACCATAAAGATATTCTTCGCTATTCAGCAATTTACAATCCATGTTAGTTCATTAACAAATACATATATATTGTACCACACAAACAAACAATATACATAGAATATAATTATCATAAGTAATATGGTAAATTCAAAACAACATACCATGTATGCTAACACAATTATACAATGCTGCCTGCAGCAAGTTGTCTTGCATTGCAATATAACAGCGTTGTATGTATACAGATATTACAAAATATGGAGATAATACTTCCAACAATCCTAACCTAAATATACAAAGGATTTTCTTTTTTTTATACAAAGAAATGTACCCTGATGACAAAATCTGCAATACTTTCAACATGCTGTTTTCGCTTCATTTTCATAAAAGCGCCAGGACGTCGATAGTTCTGGGTGTCTTTAAATCATGCATGAAATAATTTCCAAATGTGACATCACACCTTTAGTTCATGCACGATTCAATTTTGAAACCAAAACAATAGAGGTCCGCACAGCAGGCCGACAACCAAAATGCTGTGCAGAATATACTGAAGAAAGCCAAGTTCTATGGAAGAACAACTTCTTTATTACATCCATAGAACTTGTCTTTCTTCATCACACAAACTTCTAAACGCCACTGAAAGAAGAATATACTGGCTTTGGTCAGGTATTTATCAGAGGCAAATTGAAGAGAAAGCTTCCCATGGATCAGTTACAAAATA